CGAGTAATGAAAGTGACAGTCCAGAATAGTGAAAAAGCGGTTGAGGGAACGCGGAAATCGGCGTATTTGGAAAAAACAAGGCTTCTGAAAAGAAGGAAAACTAGGTGCTGGAGGATAATGTGACGACAGAAGTTGCATGGAAGGTGTTCAAATGCGCGCATCACTGCATACGGTTTGTTGCAGTAAGATGCCTGTGTGCAATGAGTTCCTCCCAGGGCGAATAGTCAATCTCTAAATTCGTCCGCCTTGGGTGTGTATGTCGGTTAAGTCGATTTTGGGCCCCTTTAGCGCCTTCGGCCTTTTTTCGCAGCGACAGCATCCGTTAGGCTATGCTCGTTGGTTACAGTTCTTCCAAGGTACGAATCTGGGAAATCATTTTTGACGTGAACTACCTTCTGGGATATATAAACTGTAATTCAGTCCTCTCCCTATCAACAGTCTTTGGAATGATTTTGCAATCTGGAAAAGTCTCGTTGGAAGCTCTTTAGGAAGTTTATGGAGACTCGTGGAATTATTGTGCCTGTTTCCAAAAACTGACTATGTGTACTGCAGCTGCACCACTATGAAGCTGTTGAAGTCACAAGTGAAAGGACAGTGACTAGGTGTCCAGAGTTTAGAGATGTTCTGACATCTTTCCTACTACACGAACGGAAGACCGACTACATATTAGCTTGATCGAAAATTTTTTTACCTATATCCATGATCTATCATGTGATATTTGTAAAACATTTTGAAATCTATTTCGCAAAAGCTATACAAGGTTATGTGCGCTTACCTAAGTTCAACGCATCCCCATTTCACAAAACTATATTCGAGCCTTCATCCTCTATCAGGGGCGCCGCGGTACGGGAGCGACAGCAACAAGCGCATGAGAGAGGACACCTTTTCTATCGCTACGGTCCATCGCTGGTTCGCTCACTTCAAGGAAGGAGTCGCGGACTTCGAAGACAAGTCTCGGTCGAGACGCCACCTCGCCATCGACGACTCAGTCATCCTGCATACATCGCAAAGAGTTTCTGTAAAACCTACTCACCACCGCGCCGTCTTGCTCCCGCGAAGAACGAGGAGAACAGCCGGCCTTCACCTCAAGAAATTTCTTCTTTGCAGCTTCTGGGTTTCAGAAGGAATTCTGTACTATGAATTGCTCAAGCAAGGCCATATCATCATCGCTCCCTGTTACGTCTGGTCAACTGCAGAAACGTGCGGAAGCCGTTGGAGAATAACGGGCTAGAGAACTTTGGTGCCCGTTCTCCATGACAACGCTAGGCCTCAGATAGGTGAAGAGACCCGTGCAAAATTGAAGGAGCTTGGCTGGGATATGGTTCCACATCCACCCTGTTCACCTGATATTGCCCTCTCAGATTACCAATTATTCCGGCCCCTCAAGGCTTTTCTATTGAAGAAAACAGGTCGGCAACTATGATCACCTCAATCAAGTGGTAGGCGGCTTCTTTGACTACTAATCCTCCCAGTTCTAGGATAAGGGAATCACTTACTGCCCGCTAGGTAAGACAATATTATAACTAACGATGTTTAGGATATTGTTGATTAGCTTGAATTGTCTGCTGAGGTGTAGAATAGAATAAAAAATCAAATCTTTTTGATCAACCTAATGAAACAATTTATCAATGTAACGAACAAAAAAGCTTCACAACAAAAAATCGACCAACAGGTGATGATGGTGTGGAGGTGTTGTGGCTAGCTTTGTAGTTGGTGGCTGGGGGTAGGATCGTTGACCTGTCGACCCGAGTTCGTATGAGTACTTGTGTGATTTCCCCTATATTTAATATAGCGAGTGGGTCATGCCTCAGGAGGGTAAGCTTACTCGCTTACTCTAGCATGTAACACAGCGGTTGGTTTCCAGCCCGTGAGCAAGTCAGCCAACCCTCAGCGCGTGGAAAGTGATCCGATCGTGACGTCCGCTCTCCCATTGCGATCCATGTTCCACAAAAGCTTCAGAAAACTTCATTTTCTCAAATGAGATACTTTTGAGTGCCACATGGTTGGCGAGTAGTGGACCGAACTTTGGCCTCGAACGGGACTCGAACCCTTACTTGTGCTATCCGGGCACTGTGCTCACATGCCTTACACTTTCGCTCCCCCTCCCCAAACCTTAAGGCTATTATTAGCCACTGGGCTAGCTGAACGGTTTGGTGCTTTTATTGGCTGATCGGCTCCCACGTGAGTGGCTGATGAGATATGGCACAGAAACCACTAAGAAAGCGAAATCAGGCGGGGTCTTGAAAGTGAATGTTATAAGAGCCCGGGGCCCGCAAAGCACAAGCACGAGTTTGAGTCCTGTCTGAGGCTGAAATTTTGCCTGTAATTCATCTCGAAGCTAAAAGATTATCGCTATCCATCCCTCATTCAACAATTGAAGCTTCAGAGCTATGAATGAGTACTTTATTGAGAATCGAACTTGGGTACTTATGAAACATAAATTCTTTCTTTGTTTACGTACAACAATTATTTCGACGCAACAATGACATAAGTACATGTGATTTCGTGGGCTCAATGTAATGTTGCTGCTCTCACTCTCCCGTCAAATTTCGAAAAAAAANAAAAAAAACCTGGGGAAGTAACCAGTGTAAATAACCCCCAAAAAGTTCCTCGACCACAAATTTTCAAAGGTTTTGGAAGAAAAGATGGCTTGGGAACAGAATCATAAAAATGATAGCAAATCATAAAGTGATGCGACTGGAGCAACTTAGCCAATTCAATTGGTCGAGGTCGATGCGTTGAAATTTACAGGGTGCACCATAAATATGGTAACAACCTTTCGGTCGTCCGAAATTTTCTTGTTTGGAGGTTTTCTCTAAAACTGCACTCTCCTTCAAGTTTGTGATATGCCTTAGACTACATTTCTACTTAAGTGCTCTTAAATCGTCAGATTTCGAAGAACAGCGAAAAAATCCCTTCGCAGACATCCACCAACAGTTCCGTCTTTGCACGCATTTGGTGAGTGACGGGTCGACGGCAAATCTCAAATTCTCAAAAGTCCGTCTTGGCTAACATACGAACCCTTTCCGAATGCAATTGATCGGGAAGGAGTACGCGGCGGAACCTGCATAAACACGAGAAAAATGACTACCGATTTGTTTGTATGTTCTAATTCGATGGGAAGGATCTATCCAGAGTAAATACAATTGTATCCAAATAAGACTCGAAAGCCCTACAAGCTTCTTGACGAGAAGAAGTTGGAGAGAAAAAACAAATGCCGTGCTCTACTTGCNGCAATGTTGGGACCCCAAAGTATACATATTTTTCACATTCTGAGTGTTGAAGCCGCTGAGAAGAGTTAGATCGCCTCTCATAGTTTTTTCACTCTTCGATGATAGCTTTCGCTAGAAACACCACCATCAGAGCGATATCGCAAATTTTGAGCGAAAAAATTACAAAATTTAATCCAAAACTCTTCAAGAAGGGTCCTTCTGAAAGAATGCAGCTGAGNTTGTATGTTCTAATTCGATGGGAAGGATCTATCCAGAGTAAATACAATTGTATCCAAATAAGACTCGAAAGCCCTACAAGCTTCTTGACGAGAAGAAGTTGGAGAGAAAAAACAAATGCCGTGCTCTACTTGCTTCGACAGACCTTTTCTTGACTAAAGAGTGTTCAGCGTGGAGGCAATGTTGGGACCCCAAAGTATACATATTTTTCACATTCTGAGTGTTGAAGCCGCTGAGAAGAGTTAGATCGCCTCTCATAGTTTTTTCACTCTTCGATGATAGCTTTCGCTAGAAACTCCACCATCAGAGCGATATCGCAAATTTTGACCGAAAAAATTACAAAATTTAATCCAAAATTCTTCAAGAAGGGTCCTTCTGAAAGAATGCAGCTGAGGGTCAAAGAATTTCTAAGGGATACAATTTGAAAACTATGGCGCACCTGCTTTCGAATAAAAAAGATCATACTGATGTTGAGGGAGTGTTCGCTACCTTATCCCAGCTTTCAATCTTTTTAAGAATTTCCCAGACCACAATGTGATGGGTTGCTGGATATAGTTCATACTGGAGCGAAAAGCCTACGCTTCATAGCGACCACTTTTGCTGCTTATAAGAAACCATTGAAAAAATCCCAGGTTGGAGTTTCTCAAGAAACTCTGCGTGATGCCATCGATGAGTATCAAAGCATCTTTGAACTATAATCAGTACAGGAGACGTTTATATAAGATGACCGTGTGTTCATTTTGTAGATGCGATGCATAGTAATTAACTCACATAAATTCACCATGTATCTGTATGAACTGCGTTTTTTGGCCCATTTCTTTTGTTACCATATTTACGGCGCATCCTGTATAGCTATTTTTGGTACTTCTGGAGGGCTGAGTTAATACGTCGGTTGTTAGAGGCAAGAAAGATCGTAGGTTTTTTCCAATAATGAATTTGTAGAGTTGTGTCATTTTGATTGGTGCTGGAGAATAACTCATGGCGCTAACTGATGGAAGACTTAAGAAAGCCCTTTCGTCCACTCCAGCAAACAAATGCACTCAAAAAATATATTTCAACTCCAGATGAACTGTCCACTTCGAAGGAGAGCGCGTTTATTGGACAGCTAAAATGAACCTGCCTCAGAGTGTATGAGAACAACTTCATTTTTCAAAAGCTATAGGGCGTGCTCGGTATCGTGCACAGCTAAATAGATAATAAAATACCAATAATAATAAATAGATAAATTACTGAATACTGGTATTGAATTTATTAATCAATCTGATGACTATTTCTTCCCATCATCGCATTCCATCTCCCTTAGCAAGCATCGACTCAGCATTATGTGAAAATGTGCAATGAATAGTGCATGATGCCACTAACACTATTTCTCATACGATATCTCCAAGTATGAATGGGCTAACAGGTAGGGCATAGTGAGAGCTCCATACCGGATCATCCGAATGCCATGCCCATCGACCGGCGATGTGACAGACGAGTGTCGAGGGATACAAATCGCAATACTCGCGCCAGGACCCGCACGTTCTGCATGCAATCAGCCGATCATCGTGCTGTGGGGTGCTATTTCCCTCTTTTCTATAACGCCTCTGTTACTCGTTTTGATGTTGCAATCCTTGACTTGATTTTCTACCCCAAAAGGCTGAAAAAAAGTGGACTAGTTTGTTGTCACCAGGGTTTTTGTCAACTTGTACGTATGAGTGAATGAATTTTGAAGAGCATTTTTGCTTAGTACAGTCAGTTATTCGCACCAGAACCTACACATACGCAGTGAGACACGTTGTATAGCTCGTCCAAACAACCACTCTTCTTCATTTTTCTAGTCTCATTCTCTTCCTGCCCCCTTCTTAACGATTTTTTCAGAGCCTTTTTCCTCTTCGAAAACACCAATACACACACTTTCTTTGCCTTCGTCGCGCAATTTTCCACCTTGTCTTCAAATTTTCCTCATAATCTGGATTATCCGAAGTCAACGTGAACTTTGCCTCTAAGGTAGCGTGGTGAAATATAATATAGGCCGTGGATGTATTTATTTGCTAATTGTTAGGGTATCCCGTGATCTAGTACTCACAAGAAGTTAGCAAGAAACTCAAACGCCAAATCGAAACTTAAGTCTAATTGTGTAGTCATAAAAACCTTTATGCTTGCTTCAGCCTTTCCAATATCTTTACATTTATAGGGCTTACGTTTTGGTGTTCGCCCTCGTCAGAGCCTGAAAGTCGAGGAACCATTGAGGATTGATTTCCATTAAGGACACAAAAGAAAGAAAAAAGAAAAGACTATTCACTCACTAATTAAATCTCCCGGACACCGTTTACACGAGTGCTACGAGGCTTATTGATCTAACCAGGGAAGGGTCCCAGGTCGAAGTGGCCATTTGAAATGAGACCTACACTGTTGGACGTGTTTGTGGATGCTGAGTTCAAATGTGCTTCCCAAATTTGCCGAGCTTTTCTCTGAACGGAGTTATGAGGGTGGTTTCAGAGAGCTTAACATGAGAAAACGTAAATCACATGGACATGCATTCTCGACGGCGGCTCGGTGTAGTGGTAAGCGTGAAGCTTCATGTGCGACAGGCGAGGGTTCGGATTTTGTGGGGGACGGAGTTTTTGCATTATATAGAATTTTTCCCTTCAATGACTAGAAAATGCTCTCATAGTGAATGATTATGCGTGACAAAACTGGCGTTTTTATTTCTGGACCTCTGCTGTCAAAAGGACATTTTCTAAGAAGAAGATGTGGAATTGAGACATTCTTCAGGAACTTTCCGAGCGAATCCAACACG